GGGGGAAGGAGCTGAGCACAATAGCCAGACCCAAGACAAGCACAGCTGGATAAGTCCAAACTTTGGAGAGCTGCACCTGAACTTCAGTAGGTGCTAAGGTTATAACTACAGCAAAGATCTACAACAAAGGTCAGAAGACAGTGCTACACAAAATGACGAGAAGGCACAGTAGGATAGCTGTTAGAGACAGACATGCAGTAGCAGAAATGAACAACCACTAGCTTGAAAATGAGAAAGACAGAAAAAAACAAAAAATGTGCATACATATACTAAAAAATGACTGAATTAACTTATATTTAAATAGGGGATGATGCTTGGAAAACCTGTGTTGAAAGTTAGTTTTGTTTACATTTCTCATCATGCTGACATTGTTGGAGTTTTCTCAAATACTATACATTTCTCTTTTCTCTATTTTGTTCTTTGTACCTTTCTTTTAAAAATATTTTTAAATTTATTTTTTGGATACAGGGTCTCACTATCCAGTTCAGACTCATAGTGATCCTCCTGTCTCAGTCTCCCCTACACTGGGACTACAGGCATGAGCCACTGTGCCCTTTTGTGGTGGCTGGCACAGCATGGGTGCTAGGGGTTGAATGCGGGTCATTGAGCTTGCCCAGGCAGGCGCTTAGACCACCAAGCTGCCTCCCAAGCTCTATAAATTTGGTTAATAAGACACTTTGCTCTTTTTGCTTGACTGTTTTGATCCTGTTTTACAACATTTGTTGTACAATTTAGTTTAAACCATTTAGAAGTGGAATGAAATGAATTGTCAGTCTTTCCTAGCCAGAAATACAAGTTTATTCAAGAAAAATGCAGAGCTGCTAACTTTTTTTTTTTGGTTTTTTTTTCACTATGTCCAAATAGGATACAAATAATGGTTTCTTTCCAAATCAGAGACTAAGTTTACTTTCCTATCCAGCTGCATGGTCTATATTTCTACTTTAAAACATGTAGGTGCTAAAAAAATAGAAGTGACTTTGAAGATTATTAGTCTAGCAGTATGTTGTTCTGTATCTTGAAAAAGAAAAATGTTTTAAGGCATAGCACTTGTGGATATTCCATATTAAAGGCACTTAGATCAGGTGAATATGAATAATTTATGAGAAAAAAATTACATAGACTGAAACCCAGTGAGCTTTTGGTTGAATTGCTTTTTAGGGGAGGTTTATTTTTTGTTTTTGGTGCCGAGGACCAAACCCAGGGCTTCCAGCTTGCTAGGCAGGCATTCTACTGCTGAGTCAAGTCCCCAGCCCCCAGTGAGCTTTTTAGTACTTCATTATCTTCATAAAGATTCTCTTCAGTACTAACAGAGTGTCATGTTGCCATATTACGCATGAGAGCTGTTATAAAGTTGGTTTGCCAGTGTTACATACTCCGAAAATGAAAAACAGCACAAATACGAGTGGACTTTAGGACATTTTTTTTAGATGGCTAGAAGTTTGGTTGAAACTAAAAACATTATCGTAAAATGGAATCTAAACCATTATGTTTATTGCTGGATGGGCAGGTAGCCAAAATTCCACCAAGTGTGGCTTCTTTCTGTTAGCTGGCCAGCAGAACACTACTTGAATCCTTTGCCGAAGTTTCCTATTGTGAATCTGAATTTAGACTTTGACTTTGCCCTTTAAAAGAACTAGAGAGCTGTGGCGATAGCTCAGGGCATAAGCACCTGCCTGACAAGCGCAAGGTCCTAACTTTGATCCCCGGTACCAAACAAACAAATTAAATAAGATCTGGGTTGGTGGAATAATTTCCAAATTTATACAAGTAATTAGTCACATCATTATAATCCAGTTGTCAGACTAGGAAGGAGAGAATAGCTTCCAACCCATGAATGCCCCAGTGAGATCAAAAGTGCAGAGGAAGACAAGAAAGAAATAGCATCTTCTACATTTGATCACAGATGAAAAGTAAGTTAGTGTGCTTCCCTTTTCTGGCTCACACTGACATGGTGTCTGCTTCAGCCGCCAATGGTGTAGGCATAACTGCCCCATCTGGTGGCCTGTGCCACTGTGGTACAAACAGTTCTGAGCATTCTCGTTGGTCGTTTTACTAATAACATTAATGAAAAGCTGCCCAAAGGGAGAGATGCCTGTGCCATTGGTGGTTCAAGCCACCTAGGAGCGAGACATATGAATTGTGGCTTTGTCGAGCATGCGATCACCTACCACGTGCAGTTCATCCAGCGTCAGGCTCTCCCCACTGGACAGGCAGATGGAAAAGGGTGGACTGCATTTAGTACTTTAAAAGAGAAGCGTTGGCTGAAGCTTCCTTTCTAGGCTGAGAGGGAGAGACATGAGTATTTTACTTTTGAGGGCCATTTAGAAACAAATTAAGTATTTTTTAAGCATAAGTAAAAATGCAATTTTATTTTATAATGTAATGTTTTTTATTCGTGGGTATTGGTGTCTTATAGAAATGCAGCCTGTAGGGGGCTGGGGAGATGGCTCAGTGGAATAAGCGTTTCCCTGCCAAGCACGAGAGCCTGAGTTCAATCCCCAGTTCCAGGAAAAAAAAAAAAAAAGAAAAAGAAATGCAGCCTGTTATAATACAAGTGTGTTTAGTCATAAAGTAGATATGTGCCATGTATTTCAAAATTTAAACTTATTTAAAAAGTTTTAAGTATTTTGTGACAAATACTCTTAAGTGATTATGCTTTTTGAAAATGTTCCTTTTAATGAACAATGTGTATATAGACAATATAAAACTTCTAGTATATGGAATCAATTGCATAATAATGTAATTTTGATACTTTTGCCTACAGGAAAATAGTATTTTGAGATTTTTACCCTTTTTTCTACAAAAAGAGAAAAATGATAATATTAAGGAAAAATACAGAAAAAATAAGATACTTAATTTTCAGAGTATTTGATAAATACACAGAGGAAAAGTTTCTCTGCCACTCATTACAGGTTAAAAAACACAGGCTAAGAAAATATCTGATTTTAACTTGTTTATATTTAATTAGAATTTGTGCAGAACTGTTTGTGATTATTTTTAATTTGCATTCTTACTACAGTTTTACTTAAGGTACTTCAGTCTCAGGTTGTAGAGTCCCATAACTTATAAAGTATCATAATTGTGAGATTTATTTTAGAAACATCTGAGAGAGAGAGAGGGAAAGATAAGATGAAAGAGAAAGAAAAAAAGTCGTCTTTGATATCGATGCAGAGACTTGAAATATTGGCAAATTCCAGTGAAGATCTAAGTAATGACATTGAGCAGAGTCAGATGACTAATGCTTCCTGGTGCCTTTCCAGGAATACACAGAGCCGTGTCCTGAAAATAAATCTGAGCATTGGCTGAAGCATCGTCACAACTCACTAAGTAAAATTATGCAGATGTAACAACACAGTGGTACATCTGGGATCGGCCAGTATAGACAGTGGTGTTTATTTGACAGAGTTTCTCACTCTTGAAATTAACACCTAGAGGAATCAGGCTTTACAGTGTGTATGTTTTGGGTAGCTTTCTGCTTTGGCAAAAGAAATTTTAGAAAATAATTTTTAATTTTCAGACATTTCTAGACACTGGGTTCTTACAGAGAAGTATCTTCAAGAGTATGACTTCTGCCCTTTTGTCATCACACAGTAATTTCTCAACTGCATTTACATAATGTATCTGCAATAAAATTTGAAGCTAATTTTATTGATTGATTTATTGATTGATTGTATTTTAGGGAAGGGTCTACAGGGTCTCATTACTAGATTGGACTCATAATGATCCGCCTGTTTACAGCCTCCCAAGAGCTGGGATTACAGGCACGTGCCACCATGCCCAGTCTTAATCACCATCTCAGTGTGCCCCAGGGATCAAACCCTGGCCCCTGTGCCTGCTTGCAGATACTTTAATCTGCTGAACTATTTGGCTGGCCCTTGAAACTAATTTTAAAATCAACAAAATTTTTAGTTTTGTCAAGTGGGTGGACTATATATAAAGACTTGGGACAACAGGTTTCCCAGATTACCTGGCTTCTCCTGTATTCCCTTTCTGGTGTTTCACAAACAGCATGGTATATGAAATGATGCCTTGGAAGCTTTGCATGTGTGAAAACATACATGAAAAGGGAACCTTACTAAATTAGGTAACATTAGACACAAAATTGAATTGTTATGGTGAGTTTACAAAACAAATGGTGTTCAGTTTGGGTTATAGGAAGGAGATTGATAAGTAACATTCTTCTAACCAAGTTCAAATCCAGATATGAGATAGGATAAAAAGTAATGTGATGGGGCCGGGGAGATGGCTCAGTAGGATAAGCGCTTGATTGGCAAACTCAAGGATCTGAGTTCAATCCCAGGTTCCGTAAAAAAAAAAAAAAAAAGTGAACCTACTAAGATCTGGGAAATCAGACAAGTGAGAGGCTACCTGCCGCCCCCGTTCAGCCTTGTCTCTCTGCTCCCTTGCGCTCTCTCCGTGGAATCGGCCCTCCAACAAGGCAGTGAGACCTCCGGTTTGAGG